ATCGTAACTGTTATCTTACGACAAAAGGCAACTCACGAATGAGCAACCAGACTATTCGTAATTATTTTCATGTCAATTGTATATATTCTAATTACTTTATTGATATTTTTAGTCGCGCGAATGCACATAGTTTTGACAACGCTGCTCTGCGTTGTTCGCCCCTTGGTTGTATGATTTCTAACACTAACTGATATGTCAGTAGCGTTGAAAATGCAATATTGCAATATTACGTTGCTGTTTTCAATAACACGAGAAAATATGATGTACTAGCCCAACTAGTAAAACAACAGTAAGGCATCAGTATATCATCAGAGAGTCCTGCATCAATGATCGAATATTGTAAAAATCATGACACACTGGAGGAATATAGAACAATAGTTGAATAAGATCCTTTTTTGGCTTAAATGATGATATTGCCAATGTGAATGGCAGTGAACATTCTGTTATATGTGACACTCTTTCATTAATATCAAGGGTCTCAAAATTAAGCATTTGATTATTTGAATATTTGTAATGAAATGTATTAGAAGATTCTTTTCTAAATCGCAACCATTAGATTTTCAACCACTACTGGTTAGTTTTCGATTCAGACTGTTTTCAGTTTGTAATGTTTCCTTCCAGAATCTCGATTAAACACATTGGGTTTGTGTCATTTGAATCGCTGTGGATGGATTTTTACTTTCTCGCGCTTAAGGCGGAACTTTATAAGAAGAGAACGTTATGCAATGCTGCGCAAAAAACCGCGAATTTTCGGAAATCTCTAATCACAGGGCTCTGGTCATGGAAAAGTGGATAAATCCAGTTGTTAAATTTAGAAAAAAATTAACTCCTGGTGTAAACAGAATCCATATTTTGAGTGTTCTTGCAACCGAAAAGTCAATTGAGGGCAAAACCTCGGACCGTCTGTGAACGACGCGAGCGTCTAAACTGTTCCGCCGATTCTCCGAAACTGATATTCTCCGATCGATCTGGATAATTTCGTGGCTCTTTAATTTGAAATCGATATTCTAATTTGGGGGACTACTTATCCTGAAGTCCCTGGGACATTTTCAAAATTTTCAAAAATTGGTTGCAACTATTTTGGTTAAATTTCGTAGGATAGTCTAAAAGACTTTTAAAACTATGTCGTAACCCAAATATTGGTTGAAAATTCTAATGTGTTGTAAATTGAAAAAAACAACAATTTTTTCACAATTTTAATATTTTTTCGTCACTTTGTGTGAAATATAGGTAATTTTTACTTGTATTTAAACATGTTTTTATCAATAACGGCTCCATCATTTCTGATGAAATTTTGTTAATGAATAGTCTGAGGGACGTTTAAGAGATTGGAGTGTGTCTCATGTTGGTTGAAAATTCTGCTTAAACCCCTATTTCTTAAAAAACCGCACGAGAATGATTAAATTGAATAAAAATTGAATTGAATGAAAAAGAAAAAAATATTTTTTAAAAAATTCAACGACTTCCTACAACCACAATTCTGAAGGCACGTTCTTTTCTTAATGAAATGTGCTCATAAAAAAGTCTTCAAATAAGGTCATGTTTAATTTTTTTAAATATTAGTGTTTTGGTGTAATTTTGCGACAAATATAATAGCCCGCTGGAATTGACTGCCCTTCGTTTTCGGCATCTTATTATTACTACAATTGTGAAAATACATTTTTCTCTACTGAAATGTGTATGTCAAAAATAGATCTTTAAATACGATCATGTTCAATTTTTTGAAAATATTAGCATCTTTAGCGTCAATTGGCGACAGAATGAAATACTCTCTGCAATTTTACTGCGTTTTGAGACTTTGTGACGGATTCCACGCAGTTGGATGCTTCGTAGGTCAGAACTTGCTCATAATTTTAATATTTTTTTATTCGACCCTTTGTTATAAGGTACATTTACACTCGTACTCTTCTTTTAGACCAATAATAGTACTTAATAGTTAATTAACCAAATACCAAGAAAGTAGTGACTAACATTGAACATGGAAACTTTGCTCACAACAACGAACTTTTGGAGTTACTTCAATTTCCAAAGAAAACATACTTTGTTTAGAAATCGACCTAACTTCAATCTGAAAAATATAAATGTTCTAAACTCAGAGCCAAGTGAAAAAATTACTATGCACTGTTAATAAGAAATGCATTAATTCCATTGAAAGTTCTAAATTATGATGTCAAATCTTTTTGGAATTATGTTGATAAAGCTATGCCCGGGAATTAATTGCTTTACTTGATGAAACTCGATAATGTTGTTGGTCCTGAAGATGTAGATTTAGTAAACATAGAGGCTAATCATTTTGAAGGTTGTTACTCTGCGGTTCAGAATTATCAAGGTTATCTCGGCAGATGGACGGCAAGTTGTACTTTTATAGGTGACATAACTGAATTTGACCAAAATATAACACCTGCAATGGTGTTAAATAAGCTTTCGAAATTGAAAAGTTCTAATAACAATGGTCCTGATGGTATCCCTGAAAACATTTTGAAAGACTGCGTCTGTATTTGCTAAGCCACGGTTATACTTTATAATAAATCTTTATTAAAAGAAATGTTTCCTTGGAGTTGGAAAACCAGTTACATCACTCGAGTATTTAAAAAATAAAATAAAACTGATGCTAGTAATTACAGACCTATTAGCATTCTTAATACAGTTGCAAAGGTTTTCAAAAGCATCGTAGTTGATTTTTTGATACCTCAATTTGAGACCAATGTAATTGAGCAACAACATGATTTCATTACAGGTAGATCAACACGATCTAATTTATTACATTACTAGAATAATTAGACATCATTTATATACATATTTCTAAATTTATTTATTTTGTATTAATATTTTGAATCATAAATACTTTGTATTAGTTATTCAGTGCTTGCACTCGAGCTTCTAATATGAACAGTTCTCATGTATGTATTGGTCTACTTAGCCTGTTGTCTTTTTGATAAAAAAATAAATTAATAATATTACTTACCTTCAGATACATTCATATCTGCTATTAAAATTCTCTCTTTTCCAAATCTAAAAATCAATGTTTGTTTCCTGTTTGTATTTTATGCGCTGTAGTTTCGTTCATCCCATGACGATAAAAAATTTGTCAACCTACTGCATTTGCGCGAATGTTATACGCATAGTATATTTATGGTAGCGGCACAAGTTGGCGCTTCAGCTAAATGAAATTCCCATTTCACGGGAGCCATGTTGTTTCTATGTTAAAAAATTATTAACAAAAAATTATAAAACACTTTTATTAACTTAGTGAAACGTCCTTATAAGACATATAAATAACTTTTTTGTATTAACAAAACTATTATGGAACCAGCATAAAAATCTCTGTTAAGTACATCAAATTGTTAACTACTTTGGATGCAGTATTCTGACGGTGATATCCCATTATCACACTCGAAAATGACTTTGACATAAATTTTAAAATTTTTATTTTATATTTCTTTATCATAGGTAATACCACAATGCTATGTATATTGTCAATAAATCCCCGAGTCGCGAAGCGAGGAGGGGATTTGTCTGAGAATTTTCAAAGCACGAGTGGTATTTAGTAGGACTATTTCACGAGTTAAAATTTCGTTCAACAGAGTTCCAATTGAGCCAAACATTAGAAATGTTAAAATCAAAGAGGTTACGCTGTAGTACATTGGCTGTTTATTGGACATGGACATAGCGTTTAATATCTTCCAATATACATGAGCCACAATTTATGATTGGCCAGAAGGGAGAACCGGTGAGAAAAATCGGGTAGGAAAAGTGAGAAACTTTTTGAGATACACCACCCTGAATGGGGGTTTCTGAACGTACAGTTAAACACTAGTGGTGTGAGTTTCACGAGTTACAATTAATCCGGCAATAGCCCTGTTTAGGTGAAAAGGCTGATCTGTCATGATGAATTTATATTCAGTTTAGTCGCAATTCAATTGCGACATCATCCTTTACACACACGTTTTATATTTTGTCTTACTTATATTTTCTCCCGAATGAATAATCTACACCACGAACATTCAACCGTCATAGGATCTAAATTCGTTCAGCAATCCGATCGCCATGGAATCTCATCGCTGTCTGACCCGTTTCTTCATATGTGTATTCTATGACTATTTGTCTCTGGATTTCTTTCGTAATTTAATTCACTACCCACGAAAATTACTCACGTATCCATGTTATTTTATTTACCACTAATTCTTCTATTTTTCTCTATATTAATTACACCGCCCCTCACATTTTCTTAATTTATCACTATCACATGCTTCTCTTATGTCCCCTATTGTATATGAAATGTTTGTATTCTATTTAAATTTGTTTACTTTCGAATACACCTTGTAATACATTATTACAAAATTCAATTGCTTTTATAATACTTCAAAGTAGTTAATTTTTGCTTTGAATCATGTATCGAAAACAATTTATTATCATATGGTCAATATGACATTTTTTATCATATGGTTATCTTATATCATTAAATATCATATGGTCAATAAGTTTTACATCTTTTATATGCAAGTTTTGAATGAGTATTCCAAAATTTTCGACATTACATCCAGGTTTTTCTTTTAGAATCGTTTTCATTTTACCATCTTTGAGAGCAATACGACGCGATTACTAATGAAAACCGTGGAATGCGTGTGGTGATACCATAATTCGGCACTACGGGCGGTGCCGGACCATAGGGGCAGCACGGCTCTCCATGCACGTAGTCATGGAGAACGCCGCTACGAACGCCAGTGGCACGCTGCCTTTCACCCTAAAGGGATAATCGGCGACCCCCCCCCTCGCAGTCGGTTGAGCATAGTCAGCCACACAGCGACTCCTCCTCCTCCTCCTCCTCCTCCTGAGAGGGCACCAAAGCCTCGCCTCGCAGCGGCTCAGCAGGAGAGTTCGGCGCCATTTCAAGCACGCCTGCCCTCGTGAAGTGTACGTATGCGCTACTACACGGATTTGGGAAACCGGTTCAGCACTGCATGTCGCATATGACGACCAGGCTTCTATATATCTTCTGGAGGACGACACATACTGTTTGGTTTGTTTTTTTGGTTGTTTTATTTTGGATCGTGATTTTGGAATTTGCCTGAATAAGCTGTCGTTTTATTTGGAACTTACATTTCTCTTCATTTAGTTTGCAACAATTTTTGGCGTTGAGGAGAAAGCAACATGACTACTCAGCAGGTGTTTATCTAATGGCGCGTATGCTGCAACAACAGCCGGAGCAGATGCGGCAACAACAGAAGCAACAACGGCAGCTACAATAGGAACAGCATGCGGCTATACAAGTACTCGCAACCAACATCGTCGCGCCTGCGGCGCAGCGGTAGCAGCAGCCAAGACCTCATTTCAGAGTTTTAAGGAAGGTAGGGGAAAATGGAGTTCAGATGCAGCGAGATTACACCATCTCGTATACAGTATGGTAACGGATGACGCAAGCAGGTGAGCATATTAATAACATATCCATAAACATATCCAGCATTCATATGTATAAATTGTTACAAAAGCTACATTCACATTAAGCAATTGAAAACATGTCATTCGGAGACATGATGGGAAAATTAGATAATAAATAAGAACAGTCACTATTAAGAAAATTAATAAGAACCGCACGTCATGGTGAAAGTTTTTTCAAAGCAGAATGAAACCCAATAAATCTCATATGGAGTGGGTAGTTCTACTTAAAGAGTAAGCAAGGGAGTGCGAGTTCAATTGCGAATACGGTAGATCGTATGGGGAAAGCCTGATTACGGATATGATACTTATTTACACGCCTGAGGAAAGAATTAGCTACGAGATTTGCAAAGAAATAACTTGGCCTTAGAAGTTAGCAAATTAGCCACTGTTCACTATGTAACAATAGTGCAACAAATGAAAGCAGCACAAATGGTTACGTAGATTTCGAATGAAAATAAAAAATTTCAACAAATTAGTACGGAGAATGATAGACAGTATAGTGAACAAGATCAGTTCAGGTCAAAAAATAAATTGAAATCGTGTCGCGAATGTTTTATATCTCATGACAGAAAATATTGAAACATTTTGCTCTTAGAAATCTGCAAGTGTGAATAAGTGGGACACATTAGAACAGTTCTTAGAGCTAAGGTGGAAGAAAAAGATGGGAAACCGAACAGAAACAAAATGTCTGCATGGAAGTGCAGTCACGTAAGCGCAATTCTGGATGTCGGCCACTGTAGTAAAATCAGTATTTCACTTCAGATTAACCATGTGTGAAGTAAGTGTTCTATTGAAATAAAACAAATCGACAGATGATAGCCGTTTACATTAATAAATATGGTTACCTACCAAAACATTGGCGCACCTCATTGCCGTGGAACAGTCACAGAGCTTAGAAATTTCGACAAGAAACTAATCTCTTAGAAAGAGTTTATTGAGGTCGAAGTATTTTGTATCGGAGTAATGAAGGAAAATGAAAATTTGAGTAGTCAACAAATACGACCACACAAACATGTTAGTAATTGATTTCTTTCAGAAGTTAGGATTTACAGTGGCGAGGATTAGGTATATCTCTTTTCAGAAAAGGTGCGTTTTTATAAATATAGTAATTAACCAGAAGTATTCGGAAGTTTTTCCTCGCAGCTACTACCTTCGGGCCCAAGTACAGGTCAAACCGGAAGGGTGCCCTAAATTGTGTAAGTATCGGGCCATTCCGATACCTTCTGGAGCAAGCCCAATGCAGCAGATTTTTAGAATGGTAGAGGAAGGGAATGAAGATAAAAAACAACTTTAAGTGAGTGAGCGCATACCGTTGGTATTAGTGAAGAAAGCAGAAGGAAACATCCGCCTCTGAGGAATTTCAATGCAACAGTTGCAGCTCATTATAATATCAGATACGTTCACACTCAATTAGAAGATAGATTAAATCAGACAGAAAAATACCCTATTCCGAAACCAGATGGCCTGTTCAAGAAAGTAGTAGAAATAATCTTTTTCAAAAATTGACCTTAAAGAAGCATATTTTTACTTGCCATTAGATGAGTAATTCAGAAAATATTTCACAGTAACCACTCCTACTGTCTGCCACAGTACCAACGCTACCACTTGCAGTGGCATCGGCAGCCGCCCTCTCCAGCAACACATCGACCAAGTCATACGCTCAATAGAGACATGGAGGAAGAGGGACTACGGGAAAGCTGGAAAGTGTGAGTTAAAAATACAAATACTTAGCATATATGATAGACAATGAAGAAATCAGGCTACATCAGAGAAATGTAGAAGCAATTCATCACAATGCCGCACAACAATATCAATCATTTTTAGCAAGTTCATTAAGCAATTTGGTAACAGTTGTGGCACCACTCAATGTATTTAAGAAAAAGTAGTAGCATTTGAGTGGTCGCAATTAGTGGAGGCAGCTATCGACGCCCTTTGATCTTAATAGATCGGTCACACTGGTGACAGACGCTTCGGAGTACGTAATTGGGGCAGTGCTTTTCAGAAGGACAGTGAGGGAATAGAGCGACCAATCGCATTTGCATCTAAGACAATTAATAGTTAGGTTATCACAAATAGAAAATATTGCTTTAGAATCAACCTTTGTATATAGGAAATTCAATGACTACTTATTTGAGAATAAATTTACAATACTCATGACCACAAACCACTAGGGGCGTTATTTCATTCTTAAAATAGAATACCAGATAACAGCTATAAAACTAAAAAGGTGTGGCTCTAGTTTTATCTAATCATATATATGCGATTGCTTTCAGAAGTGCAACGCAGCACGCCACGCAGAATGCTTTGCCTCGCCTCCCAGCGGAGAAGACAGAATCCGACATGTCGGAAGTGCACGCGATGAACCACAAGCTGGAGCAGACAGAACTACAGTTTCTTGTCAACTCCAAACGCATCGGTCTGAGTCTGGTGTGACATGCCAGGCATTTCAGAAAAATCCGCGACAACAGTGGATGGAACGGATGGTCGGAATCAGAGGCCCCTTGGAATAGAGTGCATAGACATATTGCTGGGCCCTTTCAGGGAACAACATGGTTGGTACGAGTAGTAACAGTTGCACTAACTTTCCTTATGTAGTAGAAATGGTTAGTCCTACATCTCATGGTATAGTGATGGCGTTACAACGCATCCTTACTGTAGAAGGACTACCCCGCGTGCTAGTTTCACCCAATGGCCCAAAATTTACGTCTGAAACTTTCAGAAGGTTTTGCGCCAGCAACTGCTTTCAGCACTTGTTAGTACCCCCGTACATGCCCTCTCCAATACGGACACAGCGATTCGTTCAGGTGTTTAGGACAGCCCTGACTAGATAGATAGATAGATAGATAGATAGATAGATAGATAGATAGATACGAGGGAGAGAAAAAGGAACAGGCAGCATTGTTGTCACTTACATCATATAAGGCAACGCCGGGAAAGAATGTTTGAAGATCAGCGCAGAAATTGGCTGACAGACAGCCCAGGACACTACTCTCACTACTACAGACTCCCAGAGAACAAATCAGAACTCAGCGACACCACAAATTTCCAATTTCCGATTGGCAGTAAAGTATTTATGAGAACATTCAGAGACAATACAAGATGGGCGCGAGGCAAGATAGTTAAAGTAGGATAAAGAATACACAGTGTATACCCAAACCCAGATAATCAAAAGTCAGAGAGAGAATATATTCGGTTCTGGAAGTAGGCAATGCAGACACATCAAATATTCCACAGCGTGACAGACTGACGGAACTGGTTGGTTTTCAGGCTCCATCATCATCAAGGATGCTCCAACCGAGTGGAGCAGATGCCATCCCCGGACTCGCAACACGCGGCGGCACAACAGGCGCCGGAGCCCCATTCACTGCTCCGGGGAGCAGCCAGCGACGTCGCAATGGGACAGCCATCATGGGAGGATGGAGGATGGGCAGTGACGTCGCGATGGGACCAGAGGAACAGCAGGGCCGGGAGCAGCAAGACGTACAGTCGCAGCTATAACAACGCCTGCAGTCCCAGCTGCAGAGCTAGCAGCAGCACCCCCCAGAAGCGAAATCAGAAGTCACCTGGGACCAATCAAATGCGACGCAGCAAGCGCATACAAAAGCGGCGCAGCCCCTACAGCCACCAATAGGTGGGGAGAGTGCGCTGATGCCACAATCCGCCACTGGAGACGCTGCCGGCCCACACGAGCAGCACGTAGTCATGGCGAACGCAGCTTCAAACATGAGCGGTACCGCTCCAAAGAACTAGTCGGCGAGCCCTCCTCACGCGGCCGTCAGAGCACAGCCAGCCGCCCAGCAACCGCTTCTCCTCCTCGAGAGGGGCCTCAATGGTCACCCCTGCCCGGGCGGCTTTATAAGCGGAGCGCAGCGCCTCAGCAGCAGTTGGAGTCGGCGCTATTCGAGTACGCCTGCCCTAGTACTCGTACACGGAGTTTGGATAACGGCGTCTGGACTCCAACTCGCTTACAATGACCTGGCTTCCATGCATATTCTGGAGGACGAAACGTGGTATTACTTTAGATTGTGATTTTGAATTTGGTATAATAAATTGTTGTTTTATTTATAACTTACATTTGTCTTCATTTAGTATACAACATAAACAAGATCATTGTACCCCAAGATACAATAAAGAACTGAAAAAGAGACGACATAATGTAGTTTGCGTTGTATTAGTGAACATAAGCGGCAATTTCAAAGTCATTTTTAAGAAAAGAGAATAAAAACCTTTAGAGAAACTGGTTGAGAAAGCCAAAATAATACACGTATTGATAATATATTCAAACCGTCGAAATTGCGATAAACAATTTTATGTACAATATATAAAACGCCAGTTGAATGTAACGACAAAGACCCTGTAAACTGTTTTTAAAATGTTTTCATGTGTTGTAAATTTCTTTTATACTTTATTTTTTCATATGAAGCTTTGTTCTAATATGTTCTTACTGTATCTGGCGTTGGACTTACCAATAAATCGTAGTTGCTTATAATGTTATTCTTCCCTTCAAAAATTCCAAACATCCGATGTTATAATGTATTATCTCAATACAGGATATGAACAGGTAATATTGTAATTACAAAACTATAATAATCTTAAAAATACTTGGAGGTAGTATTGATGATTAGAATTATAATGTTGCACGAATTAGTACAGCTACATTGTTTTTACGATTCTTGCTACAATGCACAATATACGCAGAAATCTCGTGTAAACTATCTGTTCTTCTGGGTTATTCCTTAATTCTAATACAATATCTTCTCAATTAGTTCCGAAAATTCTGTCACAAAATATTCTAAAACTACATTTGATACTTCTCCGCATTTGCCCAACACTTCCAAATTGTTCTCTCCTAATTTTTGAAGAGATTAAAACTCCACAAACTCAGTTTAATTTTGCTCAATTCCACTTCCGCAATTGCTGTATTAATTGTTTTGTATGCGAAACTATCTGAACATTTAATGGTGACTTTTGTATGTTATGTGAATAAGGTATTAGTTAAGTCTAATGAGAATTAGTATTTATTTTAAAATCTGTATTTGTACACATGGGAACGTAAGAGTAAAACTGACAAATCGAGCGTAAGAACGTTCATTCATTCTCTAACATTTCTTAGTTTTTTTCCTCTATATCACTTGAAATTCTTCAAAGTTAATACGCTACAAGGCAATACGGTTCGTAGGTTTTTGCAACTTTATTTTTTTAAATAGTATTTACCCTATGGATAAAGATTAAAACGAGTTATGCCGAGCGATTCACTCATTCAAACTAACTGCACTAAGAAAAATACGTATTTTAGAAGCATATTATTAGTCATCAAGAAACGTGTTAAACTTAATGAATAAAAAAATATATTTTTCGTACAGTAATATATCAAAGAACTCTATACAATATTAATTCGACAAACATGAATTTAGTTTTAGTCGTAATTATCCATGATATACTACAGTAACTACACTTACGATCAGGAAGAGAAAAACTACATGGCGTCGCGGCACGTGAGTCCAGCCATGCAAAGCCTCTTGTAGGCGGCTATTGGAAATACATGTGGCATATATAGACCTGAAGATACGGAGTAATTAAAAACAATGATATGGGAGTTGATGATCCAGTCGGTAGGCAGACAAGTCCAGTGATCCAGTCGGTAGCCACACGATCAGAATCGACCTTAGTTTTTGTTTATCCGATGAGGCAGACATGATTATTTAGTTATTACATAAGAAAATTAGGCACATTGCTTGTTAATAATAGGAATTAGTTAATTTAATTTGTGATTGTAATAAACATTGCTAACTCGTAGGAAAGAATTCGCGATTAAGCACCAATCTGCGGTGACAATTAGGGAAAGTTTCGGTACAGAATAGTTTTGGACAACTTCAGTCAATATAATTTGAGAACGTATTTAAGCGATACGTAAGAGGAAGAGGAAGAAGAAGAAGAAGAAGAAGAAGAAGAAGAAGAAGAAGAAGAAGAAGAAGAAGAAGAAGAAGAAGAAGAAGGAGAAGAAGAGGAATTGCGGCGCGGGAGCTCCGAGAAGATCAAGTGCGCGCGAAGATATTGCGGTAAGAGGCCAAGTATTAGTTTTTTCATTTTTCTATAAGAAAGAGACAAAAATATTTTAACTAGTTTTGTTATAGACAAATGAATATAATGAAACGTTTTTCATACTTGAATATTTTATTACAAAAGTTTTTTACAGGAACGCATTTATTTAATATTACATAAATTAATACAATATAAAACGTTATATTTTTTTAAAACAAACTTTTTATTCAATATTATTCAGACTGATCTTGTCCTTTTGTCCTTTAATTTAAAGATGGATTATTAACATTAACATTGATATAAAGCTTGAAATAAGTCTGACTAATTTGAAGAAAAACAGGCAGAAAAATATTAATCTTAAATTATTCAATTGATTATTGCGTGCTATCTTCATATAATTGGCAGGTAAAAAAATACAGGTATTTGCAGCTTCGTATGAACAGTCAACATCCATTGTATCAGTCAACGTTCAGCAATATTAGGGGTAAGTAATCCACGTGTTCGAACCCAGGAAAAAAAAGAATTTCTGTCAAGAATATATAAGCATCATGGGGATAGGGCATGAGCAAAGCAGGGCAATTAAAAAAAAACCTATCAGTTATTAGTGGAAGAATGTTAAAATATGTCTCGATGGTTGTGCCCTGCGTGGATCAGATTATTATTAAATATTTATAGAATATTATTAAATTATATCTCAGTACTTACCTCCAACTATGAAAGTACTTTATCAATGCATATTTTTAAATGTTAATCACTTCAGACCGCATATCATGGGGAGGTAAGTATAATTTGTAATGGAGCATAAACTTGTGATTTAAAATTTGTAATATGTAACTCCTTTCCCGTTTCCCCCCACACTGGAGCGAGTCAAAATCTGTCAACGAATAACAATTTATTACGCCAAATTACGCTTTCACTAACTAGCGGAGAATGAAGTTAATTCTTGGACGACGAAGCAGGCGATTTGAATTTAGCTCAGAGGTATCATTTAGCCTTGAGGATCTTTTACATGCAAGTAAATCTACTAACATGTGACAGCCGGCTTTACTTCCCTTCCGAAGGCAGGCATACGAAGGATTTTTTCGCCCTTAAAACGGCGTCGATCGGGTTCAAACCCGCCAACTTGGATATAACAGTTCAATGCGCTAGCCATTACATCATAGCCGCCGCATGGATTTATTATATTTATACAATGCCATCCATATGAGCAGCAATTATTTATTAACAAACACCTGATATCAAAATGCTATATGGCGAATTCTGCACTCCGCTGAAATATTTACATACAGTTTTTCCTAAAACATAACAGTAATTTGATAAATCCTTCAAAATGTAATAGAAGCAATATTGAGAGGAAAACATAATTATATTTTGCAGTGATTGAAATAGTAACTTAAGGGTTAAACGATGATTTTTCTGAGAAGAGTATTTGTGTATAGTGATGTTTTATCCCATTTATTCGCCGAATACTGATGAAAAAAGTGAGGTGGGGGTTAGGATTCATATTTTTTTTTTACAGTCAATTTTTTGTATCATTAATTTATTTCATTAATTTAATCGTGCAACGGTTTCGGGGATTGTTGTCGTCATCATAATGTAAAATTGTATGTTGAAATTATATAGATCAGAGTTTAAAATTATTTACCATACAATATTAAAATGGAGAAATTATGACAGGTAAGAACTTACTAGGCACTTGAGAGCTCATGAAATGGATGTTTTGTGCAATAATATTACTAAGCAGGAAAGCCGTCATCACCGTCACTAGACGGACAAAATCAAGTTCATGACGTTGGTGAGAGCAGTTGGATTGAATTTGAGGTTGGTTGAATTGAAGGAGATCTGAGAGAAGCGGAGAGTCAGAGGACATAAAGACAAGAAAAGCGAGGGGCGAAAGGTTTTGAAAGTGGCATAAGAGGGAACATTTTTTTCAATGTTCGACATCTATACAGCAAAGCATCATAAATTTTGTAAAATGATTATTCTCAACGGCAGCAATAATAAAATTATTTAGTTTAATCTGCAAAGTTTCAGAAACTAAATCGTAGATAACTTAGAGTCCCAATATAAAAAATTATGGGATTTTGAAAATTGAAAGTGTGATTGTCTTTCTCCAATGATTGCATACAGAGTTTTGTATGTGAGGAATCTCTGATGTTCCTGTCATGTTCTTTAATTCTACTTAGAACTTAACGACTAGTTTGGCCTAAATATATTGGATCGCAATCGTTACATTAAATACCTCATACAGCACTAGCTTTATTCAAAGAAGTATAGTGTCTACAAACAAACGTTGTATGTAGCTGTGATTTTAGAAATTTTAGGCAGCCACACAGGAGGCCGATAATGTTGCCTAAGTGCACCTGGCCGGTCCAGGTAAAAATCCGCATGTCATACTAGAATACTTTTCATGTCCATGTGTTATGCTGCTAAGCATGGTATCTGAAGGCCTGGCTGCGCCTGTGGCCCGGGTCTCGGCGCTTGTCGGGCTCTGTGAGTAGCGGCGTAGGTCGCCGAGGACACCGCCCGCCTCGCACGCCGTCCCGATGGCCCTTAATAATGCAGCGCCTAAAAGCCGTCGGGGGCTGT